ACCTTCGAAATCAAACCATATAGAAATAGATTTCTGTCAATCAAACGATGCAAACATTCATAGCGCAAGTAGATTGGATGCAAAAGAGGCTGGCTGCCAAAAAAACACGGGCTACATATTACGGCGAATGAAGTGGCTCTGTTTGACGTACTTTTTTTCTAATAAGAGTGGTACATGTAATGATCAGGCCTGTGTAATGATGGTAATGAGTTTAAGTCCCAGTTCATCAACGTATACGTAGAAGAGTAATACTCACAAACACACTTCTAGGATGGAGTAATCCCAACTGTACAAAAGCCGTTTGCTTTTTCTGGTGCTGATGGGGGATGATAGATGATGCTTCAGTGACAGGAAACTGGAAGTCAAAGTAAGTAAAACAAGAGCATTATGTAATATAGGGATCTGTCTGTGTTTCTGGGAGGTGTAACTTCATCATCAAAGACCACACTGCATTTCAAGTTTTGGGACTAGGTGAACCATAAGTCACCCATTAAGTTCTCCTCATTCAGGGGGCTGCAAAAGTCCTGTAATAGTTTCAGCAACTTACCACAGGAGGAAGAGAATTGATTCGCCTTTGGCGAGTGGAATGGGAACTAGAAAAAGCTGTTGATAAAAAGAAAATAAACTTTCTTAAGCTACCGCAACACCGGCAACAAAAACGGGCAACTTGTTTTGGAACATTACTACAGAAGGTGTCGAAAGTCATGTTGCGCGTTTTACCACGTACGTTCAAACCTTTCTTGCTACCAATCAGGTTGTTGTAAATTGCGTGAATACTGACAACTGACTGCAAAGAATTATGCCGGAGTCACGTCGTGCACAGCACTTAGTCACTTGTTGCACAAGTTTGCCTTGGCCGGTAAAACGCGCAACATGTACAGATTTTGCTGCAGGAAGTAGAAAGTCTCTCTACTTTCTGCAACAATTTTTCACAACCTGCAACATCCAAGAGCCATATTATGGCTCTTGCAACAACCTATTGTTGCAAGACAGGTTTGATTCCAGGGTAGTAAAACGCCCAACATCGCTTTTCAACTCGTTTTTGCAACAATGTTGCAAAATAAGTGGCACATTTTGTTGCCCGCGTTTCCGTACCTTTAGTCAAACAAAGGTGCAAAGCGTTTTCCTTGTGTTAGTTAGAAATTGAAATCAGACTAAACAAAAAGAAAACGCCCGTCTGACGTTAGACAACAACAACAACGGCAACAAACAGCGAAAAGCTTAGACAAGCTAGAGCATTTAAGAATACTTCTTAATCCTCCTTGTTTGTAAACACAGTTGCACTTCAGCGTCAGTTAAATCTAACAGAACTGATATGGTAAAGAGCGATTGTTTGGGTCAATGCTGTAAAGACCCTGTATGGGCGCATGCGTTCCACATTGTGAATTCTTCCCTCGTCGGGAAACTTTTGTTATTTTTGTTGAATTATATAAATATAAATTTCTAGTTGCGTTACGATGTTTTACCGATTTTCTCGTCTAACATGTACATGAGACAGTCTTTTACTTTAGATAAGAGTTTTTTTGCGTGATTTTCTTATCCTTTCAGATAGCAATGCTTCGGATGGGGAGATGACCGTATTCTTATTTGTAATGAGGAGTTTTCGTCGCGATACTGTAATTCGGTATGCAATTCAAATTCGGCAAACGAATGCCTCTTTTTTTAACCTTATCTTCAGTTCATTATCATTTCCATTGAAACTGAGAGATGTGTTATTTTGCCGTCTTTTAACATGACGCATGATTATTCACTTAATGCTCATGCGTTTAATGACACCCAGCTAGGCGCTATGCTGTCACTACTTTAATAGGCGACTTTTAATTTCAGCAAATTGATAACAATACAATGACACATTACACCGTTAGAATTGAAATACCGGTAAAGAAGGAGCAGAAGGAACTCACCTTGATGTGTCTGTCTTCTTGCAGGCGTTCGTCCAGCCCTTGAAGCTGAGTAAGTGGTTTTTCGATGACGGTTCTCTGTCAAATCAGCCAGTTTATCAGCTGTTGATAAGTCCTCTCTGCATTGTACTTTGCCAGAGACGTTGTGTAATTTTGGCTTGATTATTTCAAGTCTCAGCAGAACTTGACAAACTCCCTGCAGTCAATGGACAAATAGAAAACTCGATTTTCGATAAAAAGTTTTGTTTTATGCATAGAATTAATTGAATCAATGCCAAAGAGGGAAAGCTGAGGAACATTTCGTTTCAAAAAGAAACGTTTCTTCTATTAGGCCACGCTAATTAAGCATATCGTTTACTATCGGCTCCTCTTTCATAAAAGTGTTTCGGCCTGCTGGGAAAAAAAATAGCAACAATATTAAAGCTGGTTTACTAACTTAGAACAAACGCCACTGAATCGTTGCCAACAGTTACCAGCGCCGTACAAACGACTTATTGACGAGATCAAGCAAAACTAACTACGAGAGAACTACTGGAGAACTGACAATTTGACTAATAGACGACTGTTTAACTGTGACAATAGACGGATCGAAATGCACCAATTACTGATAACGAGTCTTCATAGCCAATAACATCACGGCTTAACTGATAGACGACCAATACCATCGCGACTTAATAGACCAATCAGATCAATAACCAGAGTATAATACCATTAACTGACGTGATACAACTCACTTTGACTCTGAAGATGACTACCGCACAGGTTGTCGAAACGTCAGTCACTGTCAACAACAACATTCCTATTCAGGACTACGTTCACCCGGACGATCAAACTCAAAATACTTTTGAAATGACTCCTGGGTTCAAACCTTTCACAGTATTAATGAATGAATAAAATGGTCATAACTAAGTGCGGGAGTCTGGGTCCAAGGGTCTCGTTTCCAGGTTCTCTTTCCTGAGAGAACCCTGGGAACGAGGTTGAGAAATTGGTCATCAGGGGACTGGCCTGAGGTGGGGAAGGCAAGCCCGGAGTCAGCCCGAAAGCGGAAAAGAAACGAGCCATCGCTGCGGAGAGGAAGGTAGGAAGACCTGATAACTGGTGTCTGTTTTAATGGAGAGAGAATGAACATGATAAAACAAATCTTATAAACTCGTCACCAGGGCAGGAGAGGAGGGTCCGGAAAATTAAAAGTGGTCTCGAATCGCGATCACTGAAAATGACCACGGCCAAATTTATAGTCAAGGGGCGCAAAGCATTACAACTACAACAAGCATGCTCGAACCCAAGGGAATGCGCACGGGTACATAATTCCTGCGATGAGCTAATTAATCAGGGGAAAAAATGCAGTGAGAATAGCAAGAAGAATCGCCCCCCTCGCTGTCCAAAGAGTCCAAGGGTTCTGGGTATGAGATGACGTATTCACGGAAAATAATAGTGCTTTCCTTAAACCCTTGTTGACAGGAACACTCGGCATGCACAGTCTCCTTGCACAAAACTATCCATTTTTATACTTTTTTTAACTACGGCGTGATTCTCTTTCTTCACAATTATACATATAAAATATATGGAGAATGTCTAGTTTACAAGTGAATAAGAGAGAAAAGAGCTAAAGATGAATCTGTTTCAAGGAACGTTTGAAAGTTTTAACCGAACTGCTTTTGGTGCAGTGATCGTGTAGGAATGCTATCTGGTGATTATAGTTTGTACAAGGTCCTGTTTGTACGCATCCCAGTTGATTTTTTCTTGAAGATTTCTCTGCAGTGTCTCTCTGGAAGGGTAAGATCTGACCTGAAATATTTATGAGAAGAAAATAAAATCTTGAATTTTATAGTCAAATCTACAGCTTCCCAGTTAGAGCTGCTGCCTTGAAATAATCAGTGGACGGTTAATGCCTTTCTCAAATAGCTTCCCTGATCTGAATCCTTCGTGTCGAGAAGTCTGAGTCAAAATAGGGTAACTGGACATTTTTATATATCTCAAAAGCCGGCTCCTGCATTCGCCACTATAGAAACGAGAAGGGATCTGGAGCCGAATTGTGTCCCGCAATTGCCTCTGGGATCGTTAATGGGGACGCGCTGGTCAGCTCCTGGCTATTGGCCAATTTTCCCCTATCCTTAGTAACCGCTTAGTAACCGCAGACCCAGAAGTCTTTGTGAAAGTCCATTCGGCCAAGTTTGCTTCCGTTTCTTAAGTGGCAACGTGTGCAATGTTTGCCTGCAGTTTTAGTTATCCACCTTTTATTCATTAATTTTCATGCGCTCGAAACTGGTTTAACCTCGAAGCTCCATTTTCTTTGTTATGATTTGTGCAGGGGGGGCTTTTTCGGGGTAAATACTTACATTATGTCGTATCCATTTTTTGGTAAGCTCGCTTGCTTGATTTATAAAGAACTTTTTGGAAATCATTACACACTCGGCTCCTCGACTGACCTATAATGGCGAATGAGAGGAGGTTAAGACAACGCTATCTAATGATATTAATTACGACAATGAATAACAAGAGCCAGACAACGGCAACAAGGCAAACGGCAAAGATGACCACGTGACCATTTCCCTAGTCGGCGTTTACTTGCCTTTTGTCGCTGCTCGTTTTCAGCTTGAAGAGGACGTTTTCTTGTGAGCAATAAGTATGATCATCTCTCCCGTTTGCCTTTTCCTTTTCGGTTCATTTTTTCAACGCCATTGAGCAGTTAGCTGGATTATTGAATATTTTTTTGCAAAATGTGTGCGAGCGTAAGGCGTGGAGTGAAGGTTTGGGTTATAGGCTTTATACTAACAGCGCCTCACAAAACTTGATCTGTCTCTCGGCGGTATCTCAGTTTCGAAGAGAGGAAAGAAAAAATCGGTTCCTTGTTTTATTGACTTAAGCCATCAAATGACATCAGTGACTCACCAGGCTTACGCTAGCGGGCTCCTGAAGAAACTGAAAGTCCTCCTCGAAATTTAAAAGTGTAGATAAACCCTTATAAGTAAAGCAAAAAACAGGAAATAAGTAAAAAGTGCTTTTATATTTCTTCAATTCAATTCTCTGATCATTTCCAAGTGATAGCTTGTAGTATATTATGACTGAGACACTGATTCAGTTTAGTTGCTCCTCAAAGGAGGATGAAAAGAGGTACCCCATAAAAATGTATGATTGTAAGTGAATCACAACTTGTGAAAAGGTCCGCCTTTTCAGAGGGGTACTCTCACATGGTTAGGGCACAATAATATTCTGATAAATTCCTTTCTTCGGAAATCAGCGGATGCTCTGCTCTTTTCAAGTAAATGCTTAAGATTTCTTTTAATGCTAGCGACGCAACCTTCGAAATCAAACCATATAGAAATAGATTTCTGTCAATCAAACGATGCAAACATTCATAGCGCAAGTAGATTGGATGCAAAAGAGGCTGGCTGCCAAAAAAACACGGGCTACATATTACGGCGAATGAAGTGGCTCTGTTTGACGTACTTTTTTTCTAATAAGAGTGGTACATGTAATGATCAGGCCTGTGTAATGATGGTAATGAGTTTAAGTCCCAGTTCATCAACGTATACGTAGAAGACTAATACTCACAAACACACTTCTAGGATGGAGTAATCCCAACTGTACAAAAGCCGTTTGCTTTTTCTGGTGCTGATGGGGGATGATAGATGATGCTTCAGTGACAGGAAACTGGAAGTCAAAGTAAGTAAAACAAGAGCATTATGTAATATAGGGATCT